TATCTTATTGAAAGTGAAATGTCTATTGTATCTGAGTTTAAGTTATGTGTCCCATCTTCTATGAGGGACAACATTATCTTTCTTGTAACTTAAGTTTTATGAATAAAAGTCAAGTGGGTCGACTAGGAGAGTGAGACTTTCACTTTAATCTCTTCTAGTCTGGTCAAACATTCTTCTCCTTCTTTCTCTTTTCTTTCTTCTTCCTTCTTCTCTGCTTTAACCTAGAATGAACTAGGGTTTATTCACAATATCCACATCTCCTTGAACATGCTATCTCACAAACATGGATCTTGTTTTATACTATCTCTAGCAATGTCCTTGTTTCTTACTTCTCAACGTGACTAGGTTTCCTCCCACAAAGATACGATAACCACTAGTGAATTTTCTATCATCAACTGATCCAAGCCAACTAACATCTTTATATACTTCAACCTTCAAATGCCCATTTTTCTAGAACAACAAACCAGCTCAGGGAAACTTCTTGAGATACCTAAGGATCCTCTCGGCATCCTCTAAATGAGTGGTCTTAGGGGCATGCATGAACTAGCTAAGGGCACCCACAGCATAAGCAATGTCAGGTCGGTTCATAGACATAAGAACCTTTCCACAAGTCTCTGGAATTGCTTCACATCTATTGCAGATTTGCAATTTACCAATGGTAATCACCCAACATGTGATTTGGATCAATGGGATAGTCAATTGGTTTCACTCCTAACTTTCCTGAATCCTATAATAGATCTAAAATGCATTTCCTCTGTGAAATGAAGATCCCCTTTTGTGAGCGGGAAATTTCAATTCAAAGGAAATACTATAGGGACCTAGATCTTTCACCTCAAACTGAGTGGCTAAGAATTCCTTAACTTCTAAATTTCAGCCTTCCAATCACCAATGACTACTATGTCATCAACGTACACTATTAAAGCTGCAATTTCACCTTACCCCCTCTTCACAAATAATGTATAATCAAACTAGCACTACTTAAAGCTTATATGTTGCACAGCTAAATGAAAGCTATTGAACCAAGCCCTTGATAATTGTTTTAAACTATACAAGGACTTCTTCAGCTTGCACACTTTCCTCTCATTACCCTAGGCATAGAAACTAGGGGTTGGACCATGTACACCTCTTCTTCAAGATCACCATTCAAGAAAGCATTTTTTATATCCAACTAGTGAAGATCCCAATCAAGATTAGTTGCCAATGAGAAGAAGATTCTGATAAAGTCCATCTTGTCTATTAAGAAAAATGTCTTTATATAATCTACTCAATACACTTAATTAAACCCCTTTGCCACTAACCGGGCTTTATACTTTTCCACTATGACATCAGCCTTTTGTTTAACTATAAACACCTACTTACATACTACTGGTTTCTTTCCTTCAAGAAAATCTATCAACTGCCATGTACCATTTTTATATAAGGCATTGATCTCTTTTTTCATTGCATCTGTCCATTCAAGTGTAAATAGAGCCTCTGCCACATTCTTAGGGCTAGGGACACCACACCGTTAATGGAAAAGAGAAAGGCAAGGAAAGAGAGTGATTGTGCAGGTCCAGCCAGTGCCACTCCTCCTAAGAATCTTTCAATTGGATGTGCCACAACTAAAGATTCTGAGAACCTATTGGACAACAGTTTAGAACAAGAGAGAGCTAGAATCTGGTCCTTAATCCTGGAAAACCTATTTAATTATCAAAAAAAATCCTGGAAAACCTATTTGACCAGACCCTAGATATGGAGAATAGCGAAAATAGAGGAAACCACCCCATCACTTAACCAAATATTGTACCCCAAACTTTAACCCATGTGGGAGCAAGGAGGCTGAATCAGGAGGGGAAAGAAGAGTCAGAAGGAAAGAGAAGAGTGGGAAGGAAGATTGAAGGAAGTAAGGTATATATGAGGAAGAAAGGAAAGAAAAGAAGGAAGCAAAGCGAGATAGATAAGTTTAAGTGTGGAATAAATTATGAGAAGAAGGAAAAGAGGAGCTTGAAAAGAAAAAGAGGGGAATACTTGGCAGCTATTGTTAAGGGGTCACAAGCAGGTTGAAATGAAGATAATCAGGTGGAACGTAAGAGGTCTAGGAAGTGCCAAAAAGAGGAGGACAATCAGGAATACTCTCAAAAAAGAAAGACCAGACCTGATCTTGATTCACCTTTCTTAAAAGAATTCCCACCATTTGTATTTGCAACCCCCTTGGCTATCAAAGCAATTGGCTCCCCCTAAGAACTATTTACCACATTTCTCGTACTCTCCTCCATCTTTACTTCCCAAGATCTACACCCTAATAGATTCATACATTGGGTTCAGCCCAAAATGAAAAGCAAACACCCATTGTTAGGAGACAAGACACTTGTAGGCTTTGCCATCCTCATTACACTTCCAGTCCATACTCTGATAATGGTCCAACTCCTTTCAAATTGAGGTCAAATCTGAGTAATATAGTGAAAAACTCCTCTCCCCCTACTTATAGGTAGTGGATTCAACTTCCAACTAATAAACCTATGAATAAAGCCACTACTCGGAATACGTGAACTGGCTTGTTCCAAAATCTCATAAGCTATGTCAGCCTACATGAAGTTTCTTATTACTTGGGCAGCATAGACACTAGAAGCCACTCTCCCAATTCCACTTGCCATACTCAGCACTTCTAGACTTTGGTTCCTTAATCTTCCCATTGATATATCCTATCTTCCCCCTTGCAGTGATATAGAGTTTAATCCCCTTTGACCACTCTAGGTAATTGATACCATCTAGGGGAATAACAGCCATAGGGAAGTTCATGTCTAACCCCCCAATCAACCCACTTTGATTTGAAGAGACACCAGAGATAGAAAAGTCCTCAAAAGACATGATAGATCCCTCAGGCCAAACTTATTCAGCTAAGAAAATACTGTAGATAGGGAAGAACCATCACCAAGATACCAGGTGTACTACAAACCAGGACTAGAGGAGGTTAATTTCTCCAGTCCACACAGAGTACTAAAGCTGGAAACACAGTGGTTTATGTTTTGTTTGAAGGTGTTGCCTTAACAATCTTAACAGCCTGTACTTTTTTTCTTTTTTAGTGAAATATTTTCTTTTACTATTTCACGGGGGTGCATACTAAAAATCCAATCTCTTTAAGTAGGTACCTTAACCACACTAGCTCACAAGTCGTATGTGCCATGGCTCTATAGTCAACCTCAGCATTGCTTCTTGCCACAATTGTCTGCTTCTTACTCTTCCAGGTTACCGAATTACCTCCAAGGAAGGTACAATATCCTGTGGTTGACCTCCTATTAGAGGTAAAACCAACCCAATCAGCATCTATATAACCTTCTTTTCCAAGCTTCCCTCTAAATTTGTACAACAACCAATGTCCCAGAGTTCCCATTAAGTACCATACAATCCTAATAACTGCATTGCAATGAGTTCCCAACACCAGCTCCATACAACATTGCTGGCATTACAACCATTTTATAGAATTTTCCTTTTAGCCTTTTAGCCTGAGTGGTTTTTGCCCATTACATAAGACTACGGATGCACCAATCTGTTTCGCCCATCCTACTCTAGTTGTATGGGAGACACCCTCCTCAATCTCTCCTCTGTTATGAATTATTAAACCAAGGTAACAGAAATGGTCCCATTTTACTGCTTATTATCAGAAAAATAAATAGGAGAAATCTTTTCCTTTGTAATCTTTAGGATGGTTGAATCTTGTTTGTATAGGCATTTCCTAAAACAGATTCAAAAATAGCTATAGGAAGAATGTTGATTTAGATAGAATCAAGATGTGAGACTGATGAAAAATGGCACAAGCATTAAAAAAGCATATCCTCGAGAAAATAAGAAAAGACACAACTATAATGAAAAAGAAACAAAACTTACTTGCTCAACATCACGCTCTGGATTCCCATAACTAACTGGATCTGCCATTCCATCTGAAACAATTATTAAGAAACCACCAGAAAAGCGTTTGTGTCTCAAGCAACTGCATCAGGTTTGACAACTTTGGTACCACAGTCTTCATAGATGAAAATATCATCTACCTGGGCCTATCATCACATTTCCCAATTTTTAATGTTAAAAGCTTCAAAAAAAGGAAAATAAGAAGACTCTCACCAAGTTCTCAGCAATCAATAGTGAAACTAAGAATCTTGTAATTCCAAATTATGCATAATCCTATCATAACATGGGGATAATGCATCTCTTGAGACAACAACAGAACTTGTTTCTGTAATTGAATTACTGATGTTTTAAACAAATGAACAGGCTATATGTGATCCCATTCAAGGTTTAAAATGCCGATCGTCCAAATATAAGAAACATATCAGAAATGTTGGAAGTATCGTATGGAAATATTGTAAAAATTATAGACATTATGGAAACATTGTAAAATATGCAAAATACAGAATGATATTTTATGAAATGATAAAAGTAGCATAGGAACACCTTTTCAAATTATTATCTTGTTCCAAATCTCTAAACAAAGTTAAGAAACTAAGGTTATAGACAAAAGAATACATTCTGAAATTGCCCTGTAAACCTTAAGATTCAAAGCTTCATGATAGAATGAGTTAAAGAAAAAGTTGAACTCATAAAAAATGTAAATGATTGTAATAGACCAACCAAATAATCTATTACACAAAAAAGCTAATATTTAACTTCATGTTTGAAATGAATATTGAGCTAGCTCAATGTGGTAATCAGTAAGTCAGGCGGGCAATAACATTGTTACTCCATATATCTACAATATTGTCACCAACTTATGTTATAATACTATCTCTTGTACTCTAGTGTTGGTAGTGTTTACTAGGAATATGTCAATTCCAGTAAAATTTCATGTTGCTACCCATTGAAGTGGAAATGGAAATATGTCATGGAAACGATCTCTTGTACTCCAAATAGTGATGGTAGTGTTTATTGGGGAATATGTCGATTCCAGTAAAATTATCATGTCACTACCAACGGAAGTGGAAATATGTCATGGAAATATTAGGGAAATTAGGTAGATCTTAAACCATGATCTCATGGAATCAAATTATCAAATTGATAATCCACAATTAAGTTCGTTGGAATCACAAAATTGATATGCATATCGAAGATTGAAGCAAACTATATCCAGAACCATGTTAATGTCATATACACAAAAGTGGAGAATTTTTTATCAATAACTTAAGTTCATTAATAATCAAGCCAAAGGAAGATACAAAATGGATGAGATAAACTCTCTTAACTCCCCCAGATAGAAGTCGTAAAATGAATTACAATATAGCCCAAAAATTAGAGTTTCTTCCCACCCCTTGTGTAGCTAAAGCATTAGCCATGGAGTTGGCATCTCTCTTAACCCAATTCATCTTGACATCTATTCCTTGTGTCAAGTATCTAAATTTCCTTTTCTCATTCATGAAAGCCCACCATCCACTCTCCACCTCTTTTTGAAGTCAGTCAATAATCAGCTTAGAATCCCTTTCAATTAATATCTTAGTAAGGTTAAGCTCTTTGCCTCTCTTGGCTCCTTCCAACACAGCAAGGATTTCCGCTCTTAAAGAGTTCCCAACACCAATGGGAGCAGATAAAAGAGCCATAATTTTTTTAAGGATAAATATAAAATTCATTAAAATAAAAAGGAGAAGTACAACGGAAGGTAATAAAATATCACCAAAAGCATGAGAGCCATCTCAAGAGACCCAATAAGGCCCAATAAACTGCATCTTAAAACATGAGCATTACCCAAACACCCAAAAGAAAAACAAAAAAACAAACCCAACACATATCCCCATAAAACAAGGGCCACTAACCCAACACTAAACAAAAGAAAAGATCCCTATCCTAAAGCCCACATCAATCTTCATCTGTGAGCATATTTTCTTGGGTTGAGAAACCCTCATCCCATTCCCCTCTCCATTGCAAATGAGCTTTGTTTTTCTCTTTCTCCACCTTTTTTCTTCTTTCAAATTCCTCAAATGTCTTCCTAGTTTGGGAGATTTAGTACTGTGGTGCAACAGCTTTGGATGAAATAGTGTAGTGTTGATCACTCTATGTTTAGAAGGGAAACTACCTTTGGAAAGATTTTCCTGAAAGCTTTACATTGATGATATTATTATAGAGAGTGATGGACAGGGTGTTGGAGAGTTGAAGTAGTTTTTAGAGAACAAATTCCAACCTAAGGACTTGGGGCACTTGAGGTATTTTTAGGGCATAAAAATACCAAGGTTGAAGTGTGGAATCTCTCTCACAAAGGAAGCATGTGCTTGACTTGTTGGAAAAAACCGATCTATCAGGAGCAAAGCCAATAGACATTCCTATACATCCAAATGTGAAGATGTATCATAGTAAGGGGGAGTTTCTGGCTGACCCTAGGTGATATAGGAGATTAGTAGATTAACTGATTTATCTCATCATTACAAGTCCAAACATTTCCTTTAGTGTTGGACTATTGAGCCAATTTATTCAGAATGCAAGGTCAGTCCATTGGGAAGGCATTATTAGAGTATTATGGTATTTGAAGGGTACTCCAAGTCAAAGGTTGTTGTATAAGAAAAGGAGGACTTTCCTTAAAAAGATATATAGATGCAAACTGGGTAGGATCAGTTACAAGTAGAAAGTCTACAACTGGATATTGCATGTTTTTAGCAAGGAACTTAGTTACTTGGAAAAGTAAGAAGCAAAGTGTAGTGGCTAGGACTAGGAGTAGTATTGTGGTCAAGCACAAGGCCATGGCCCATACCACTTGTGAATTGATGTGGTTTAAGTAGTTGTTACAAGAGATAGGAGTGGTAGTTTCATCTCCCATTAAGTGTTTTGTGATAACCAGGTTGCTATTCATATTCCTTCCAATCCAATGTGTCATGAAAGAACCAAACACATAGAAGTAGATTGTCACTTTGCAAAGGGAGAAAGTTGTTAGTGGAGAAATTGTTACACCCTATGTGAATTATAAAGATCAACTATCTGAGTTCTTCACCAAAGGATTGAGTCAATGGATTAAATGCATTTGTAACAAGTTGGAGCTTTATGATATATACAATCCAACTTGAGGGGGAATGTTAAATTATAGTGCTGGTCATTAGGGTCTGTTTGGTCATTGTTCTTTTTCTTCTTTTGTTTCTATTTGTTATTTCTTTGTTATATTCAGTCAGAGGTAGTGGTGTAATTTCTGATTCAATAATAAAAAGAGTCAGGTGACAATTAGATAGGTTGGTTTGATACTTTTGCCTTCAGCCCTTCTTCTCTCCTTCTAATTAGAGCGTTCCTGGATGGTTTCTGGGATTTTTTCCCATTTATTTAATTAGAATTCCAGGTCTGATCACTGGTGGGATCCATACCTAGACCAAATTTTGATCTGTACCATGTTTAGTTTTAAATGCAGATCATTAGTAGGATCCAAACCTGCAAAGTACAGATATGGAGCAGGGTTAGTTTTCAACTCAACCCACTCCAGTTCATACCTAATTAGGAAGAGTGAACTTTACAGTCATTATCTGTTCTTATACTTGTGATTCAAACACGTTAAGTCTCCCAATGAGGTGCCATGCCAATCCTCACTCCACAGGTACTGGTATCAACTTTACAAGTTCGTAAGTTCCCATGAACAATAAAAATGACTTAGATCAAAGATATTAAAAGAAACAGTTTCTTCTTTGTTTTTTAACTTCAGAATTACAATATCATAATACTCATCAAAAAGAAATTTAAAACAAATCATAATCATAGCTCAATTGATTGGATGTTCTAAAACTCTGTTACAGAGGAAACCAATGAGGAACTTTCATTCACAAATCATAATGAAATTGGCTCATTGGTCGCGGGAGAAAGAGAGGAACACGAATACATTATCAGAAGAAAAAAATCTACCCATCTGGAACAGATTCCATGAACCCTGTACACCCAGTGATCTATGTCTGTCCTCTCTCACTTCACCATAGAAAAATAATGAAGTCAGCAGAGCACCTGTGTTTCTTATTGGAGATTAGAGAATTTGGGACAAAATCCATGAACAGTTTGGATCAAGCAGTTCGAATCGCCAATCAGAATCAATAACAATTCTATTTTATTCTACCAAACAAAAATAACAACAAGAAACAGAGAAAAGTAGAATGACTAACAAAGAAGAGCAGACTGGTGGAAGATAAGATGTTACCTCAGCATTGGGTTCGTTTGTAGAGCTGCCTGCAAAAATAGGAGAAAAAACATTAGATCTACAATGCCCTGCATAGATTTTAGTAGATCTGAAGAGAAAGTGGTTGTACGTGGAGCCGAAATCGTCGGAATCCATGTCTTCCGGACAAGGAGAACCCATCTCTTGCAGGCAGGTTAGAACGACCAAAAACCAAAAACAAGCAAAGAAAGATGCCCGAACGTGGATCTGGTCTCACCGTGGCCGGAGACGGCGTGAAAAAGATCGGAGGTCCGACCGTTTTAAGGCTCGACGCTGGAGTGGGGAAGACGGAAGAGGAACGAGCTCCGCTCTGACAAGTCTCGACTCCTTCTCTCCCAAATGTGTCCATGTTTTCCTTTCCCACCGGGTTCGCACCGTCTCAACTCGACCCCGCGTCCCTCGTTTTGCGAATTCCGCCTCTGACACATGGAAAATGAAATATTCGTATTTCGTAACATATTCCATGTTTCTCACTACTAAAATTACATTTCTTCTTCCTACGCGCATTCCTCTCCTTACTAAACCTTCGCTCATCTCCTTCGCAATTGACCCTTCTTGACTGTCGAAAACTCTTGCCACTCGATGGGAAGTAAGTACAGAAACAGGGTGAACACTGAATAGCCATTAATGAGAAACGTGGATTTGGTGGAAATTTAACTCTCCTTCGGTCTGTGTTGCTTTCAAACCTGGTTCTGATGGTGTTGGGAGAGAGGTAACCCAGTCTGCGAAATCATCATTGAATTCTAAACTAAACTTCACTCTGAAGTCGGTGACTGCTCATTCTAATCTAGTCCTTCATGGATCGTTACTCTCAGGGCTAATCAGATCAGATACCCGAGCCTAGCAACAACATTTATCCTTGTGTTCGTACCAGGGCTGGGGGAGAGATCGGGCTCCTGGAAAATGCCAACCGATCAGCTTAACACGAAAAATGAGAAGCTACGGTGGCCCTGTGGATCAGATGAATAAGGCGTCCAGCACCAGCAGCCAAGGTGTGATAATGCAACTGTAGACTCGAAGACGTTATGTAAAGAACAGACAGCAAGCTTTAAATTCAAATGTAATGAACGTTGAGAAAGAAGCACCCAAAGAAACCATGACTCAACACACTGTAATTACCCAGTAATCCACAATTTTGGTTTGGGTGGCAGGTTCTATGCTCGTGGAAGATGGTGAAATGATGAAATCACCCGTTGAAGCTTCGAGTTCACATATGCGCCCTGCAAGTGCCACTGGGAAATAAATGCTCCTAGTACACGGTTGGTATGTGCTGAGGCACTTGTGGAGCGCCCCACGGTAGAGACCGGATCTGCTCTTCACACATGGCACCTCACACCGAGCTTTCATTTAAAAATTACTAAATTTTATTCTTTTGAATTATAATTTTCCGTCAACTCCACTAACTTAAATCCACGTCACCCGAATTCTTTAATATTATAAGAAAATATCCGAAATAATAGGGAAGATGTTCCTAATGCACGGCGGGAGTGAGATGTGCCTGTGATGTCGTTGCGAGGCACCTTGTGTGAGGAGCAGATCCCAATTCTCCACGGTAGGGTGCTGATGTGAATTCTGAAGCTCCGCAGTTCCCATCAATAAAAAGATAAAATTACTTAAACAATCCGCAGCTTCTTACAAATACTTGAAAATACGCCTTGGGTTTTGAAAATAGAGATCGGCTTTGGTGCTCACATAGGGGTGCAAATGGATCGGATGTGATCCGAGATCCGATCCTATTTGGTCGAATTCGGATCACCTCTATTCGGATCTTTGAACCGGATTTGGATCACCCTCTTTATCCGATCTGATGTGTTATATATTTGTAAGTATAAATATATAATACATATATATATATATGTTATTTATTTATTTATAAATATTTTATTTATAATGTATTTTTATAAATTTGTTATATTATTTATTTGTTTATAAACAACATGTATATATATGATGAAAATAATTAAAAAATACTTGTATTTTTTGTTTTTTCTTTATTTAAATTGGTATATTTTATTTTTTTAATAATTTATTAATTTTTAAAGAAAATAAGTCGGATCAAATCAGAAGATCCGAAGATCCAATAGGATTCGAATTCAGGTCGAGTCCTATCAAATCCAATTGGATCTTCGGATCGGACCAGATTCGATATGAACAGTTAGATCGGATTCAAATATACCCTAATTCGAATCCAATCTAATCCGTTTGCATCCCTATGCTCACACCATTCACATGGTCTTTTGTAGGTTGCAGCCGAGACCGACTTCAAGTGCTCATAAGTCACATCCTAAATTATTTACAATTTGCTCCTAGATACAAGCCTAAACAGTTTATAAGAATTATAGGGTATGAGTATAAACTACTCAACATCTTAAATTTAGACTATGTTTTATTTTTGGGTAAGTTAATTATTTAGATAAATGCACTTGTCTAGATAAACACTTACTCAAATAAATACATTTACAAGTTACCTTTTGTGTCTAGTAAGTTATTTGTATTATCATTGTTGATACATAAAAAATTAAAAACTATTTATTGTATGGACGTGTTGGGTCCACTAATGATAAAAATTGGCCCAAGGAAATGTCTCGAGAAGAGCCCAATTTGAAATAAAAAAGGCTATTGAATGGGCAATGGGCCCTTTACCCTATTAGCCTAGGAAGTATTGTGTGTAGCCCAATATAAAGTGAAGAAAAAAAGAAAGAAAAAGTCAATTAGGTGGGGTCAGGCAAATCAAATTGAAGAGGGGCAATGGATATAAATCCCACGACATGTGGCTTAAGTGTTTCAAAAATTCAATGAGACACCTGAATATGTTGGAAAGATTTTCTCAGTGAATTGGAGATATCTTCTAAAATCAATTTGGTGGGATCCATTTAAATGGTAATCAATATAAAAGGAAAATAATCTCGGTTGGCCAACAGACGACACATTGGTGAGTTGCCTAAATGATTCTGGAATTGTCTTTCTATGTGCGGATTTGATCCCTTGCATTCAGTCCTAAATGCCAAACACCATTCAATTATTCCACCCACTTGCCATAACAATGTTGTAATCGACAAATCATATTAGAAGGATTGTTCAAAGATTTACTCAAGTCAATCTTGTGGGGCTCTCATTTCAATGATCAACATAGCAAACAACCACACCTAAATGATTGTAAAATAAAAGGGAATTAACCTTGGTTGGCCAAGACGTATTTCCTTTTAGGCTTAATTTCATTTTGAATTGCTAGTGTAGGGGTATTTCTGTCTTTATACTTACGTTAAGGTTGCTGATCTGTAATATTATATTAGAATTAGTGTCCCTCACTTAAATAAGGGCACATGTGTCTTTTCTATTCTATTAACAATATAAAAACATGTTTGGCCGAATGGGAGAGGTACTTTTTACCCTAATTCAAACCAGACTTTTCTTCTCTCTTTTTCTCCTCCTTTATCTCTCTCTTTCTTCCCTCTTTCTTCCTCTTTCTTCTTGACTATTATCAGACTAACAGAACTCAAAGGTAGGCCGAATTATAACATGGTATCAGAACTCAACTAAGCAACTCGGATCTACCAAGATTTCTGTTCACTATGCACTCAATCTAGGGTTTTCCCTTGATTTCTCTGCCATCGATTGGAGATAAGGGAAGGGGCTGAAAAGGAGTGGTCGCCCTCTCCCCTTGGAGGTTTCTATACCTCCAGTTGTGTCTTGTGTGGTCGGTTGTTGTGGTCTTTAAGAAGCCCTCCCCTAATCGATGAAGAGAAGAGGGCTGATTCATGTGGTACAGTAGGTGTCTTGTGTGGACTGATTTTCTTCTCGTTTTGTTTGTCTTTCAAGTGATGAGGTAAGAGATTTCTATGCATATTTTTTGTTATGAATCAAATAGGAATTATGTTTCAGATTGTATGATGGAAAATCAGACTGTAGTGTGCTAGGGTTTATGCTGTTTTTTTTTTGTGTAATTCGAAGGAGGAGTGGTGCTCATATAGTGGTGAGATTTTAGGTAGTCATAGGGTAGGGTTTGTGGTATAAAGAGTGCAGTCTTCAGCAATAACAAGTGCTGAAACCAGTGTGATCAAACAGTGTGTAGTGTGCCGAATTCAGTGATAACAGAATTCAGCAATGGGAGATAATAGTGATAGCAAATCTAATGTGATGATACCTACTGACTACCTGAATGTTCAAATGAATTCCATTAAACTGAATGAAGAGAATTATGTACATTGGGCTAAATTTGTAGAAGTTTTTCTGAAGGCAAAGAAGGTGAAATACATAAGGGAGGAGAAACCCCCCTCTGATTCTCATGAGTATGAAGACTGGGAACAAGATGATGCACAGATTATCACATGGTTATGGAATAGTATGGAACCCAAGATTAGTGTAAATTTCATGTTTCTTGACACTGCCAAAGATGTGTGGGACCATGCTAAGAAGTTGTATTCTGGTCAAGACGATACAACCAGATTATATCAGCTGTATCAGGAATACTTTAATCTGCAACAGGGCAATCAGAGTCTTGAGGAGTACTATGCTAGTATGAGAAACATCCATAATGAGTTGAATGTTTATCACCCATCACTTCTGATGTCAAAATTCAGCAACAATAGAGAGAACAGCTAGACGTGACTCGATTTTTGGTGGAACTGAAATCTGAGTATGAACCAGTATGGGCTCAGATACTAGGAGGGTCAGMTCTCCCTTCTTTAGAAGAGGTGTTTGCTCGACTTTGGAGGACTTCTATTGGATCTACTGAGAACTCTAATGTCTCAGATAGATCAACCTTTGCATTGTCAAGGGGCCGTGGTGTTAGAGGTGGAGCTCGAGGAGCTCAGTCTGGCCGTGGTGGTTGTAGTGGTCCGGAATATGGCTAGAGTGGTGGTGGTGGACCTACATATAACCGTGGTGGTGGTCGTACTGGAGGTAGAGATTCAGGGGGAGCTCGTGGTAGAGGACGTGGCTCAGGTCCGAGGAGGTGTACTCATTGTGGTATGGATGGACATACCATTAATTATTACTATGACATGCATGGTCCACCCTCAACCTGGGTCAATCATGCCATGATTAGTGACACCAGTTCCAGTTCTGGGAAGGAGATGGTGAGTATTCCACGTAATGAGTATGAGAGGTTTGTCCAATCCACATTTCAGCAGAACACGACTACCTTCGCACACTCAGGTTTGGCTTGTTTGACATCCACACCCAATCCCTGGATTATTGACTCTGGAGCCTCCGATCACATGACTAGAACTCCAGATGTGTTTTCTTCCCTCTCTCATTGCTCAACATCACAATTTGTTACCCTTGCTAATGGTTTCACATCCTCCATCTGTGGTGTTGGTAATGTTGACCTGAACCCTGTATCCATATCCTCAGTTTTGTATGTCCCTAAATTTTCGTTTAACCTTATGTCTGTTAGTAAGCTAACCACGTCACTTAATTGTTCCATTATCTTTTACCCGTCTATGTGTGTTTTTCAGGATCTCAAGACGGGGATGAAGATTGGTGGAGGGCATGAACCTGGTGGATTGTATTATCTTGACGGTGGTGGAAGAACATCAACAGCTCTCCAGTCATCTCTCTCTCCTCTCTAGTGGCACTATCGATTTGGTCATCCTTCGCTGAAAGTTTTAAAATCTTTGGTTCCTTCATTGAGTCAACTTTTTGTTTTAGATTGTGAGTCATTACAATTTGGAAAATACCATCATGTTCCCTTTAGTTCTAGGGTTGATAACCGTGTGTCGAGTCCTTTTTCTTTGATTCACTCATATGTTTGGGGTCCTTATAAAGTGATGTCATACAATGGATATAGATATTTTGTCATTTTTTATGATTTTTTAAGGATGACGTGGTTCTATTTAATGAAAGAAAGAAGTGAATTGTTTACCATCTTCCATAAATTTTATACTGAGATTCACAATCAATTTGGTGTTCACATTAAAATTTTTCGTTCTGATAATGACCGTGAATATTTATCTTCATCATTTCAAGAATACTTGGACCAACATGGCATTATACATCAGACCTCATGTACCTACACCCCATAACAAAATGGGGTGGCTGAGAGAAAGAATTGTCATCTCTTGGAAACAGCACGATCCATCATGCATCACATGAATGTTCCCAATCCCTTTTGGAGTGATGCGGTGCTTCCTTCTTGCTTCTTCATTAATCGGACGCTCACGTCTATCCTTGATGGTCATTCCCCATT